ATACGAATTAGAAATAAGTCTTAAGAACAATAAAAACACGTCTCCGGGAATAGATAATATACATTATATTATGTTGGCAAATTTACATCAAAAAGGAAAAGAAACACTATTAAAAATTTTTAATCAAATATGGCAATCAGAAGATATTCCAGATAGTTGGAGAGAGTACCGGGTGATTCCCATACTTAAAGCAAATCAAAATTCTGATTCGGCAGAATCTTATAGAGGTATTTCATTAAGCTCCTGCATAACAAAAACACTGGAAAGAATGATAAAACTTAGGCTCGAAAGATGGTTGGAAAAAAAATAATAAAGTATCACAAACACAATTTGGATTTCGTAAAAATCATTCTACTGTGGAAGCAGTGAGCCACTTGGTAACATATAAATTTAGCGTTTGCGTCAAATTCTTCAGTAACAGCCCTTTTATTAGATGTGGAATCAGCATACGACAACGTTAATTTAATTATACTGTACAACAAAATCACACAAATAGGTCTTCCCGAATGTTTCTGTCAAAAAATAATAAAACTATATGACTGTCGAAAAATTTATATATCGGTAAATTGTAACACAATTGGTCCAAGGCTAGCGATGGATGGTTTACCTCAAGGAGGAATATTAAGCCCATTGTTATATTTAATTTACACTGCTGATCTAGTTAAAAATTTAAACTCCACAAGAATTTCACAATTTGCAGATGATATAGTCATTTATCAAGAACACACTAAAATAGAAAATGCAGTCAAATCCATTGAAGAAGGAGTCAATCATATAAAAACATGGAGTGATTTACATGGACTAAATATCTCTGATTCGAAAACTAAATTATGTATTTTTTCAAGAAAACGAAAAGAGATACCCAACTACATCTTAATAAACAATGTCTCCTATCCAGTGCAAAAATATGTTAAATATTTAGGCATTACTCTTGATAGACAGCTTCTCTGGAAAGAACATATAGACAATATAGTTAAAAAAACAGAAAAGGGAATAAATCTTCTTCGATTCGTGTCACACTTACGATGGGGAGCAGATCCAAATATTTCTTTGTTATTATTTAAAAATAATATAAGAGCTATAATCGACTATTTATCAATATTATACAGTGACGCATCACAGTGTCATTTAAACAAAATAGACAAAATCGTTAATAAATGCCTTAGATTGTGTATAGGAGCCCTAAGAAGTACACCCATCTGTAACCTACAAGTCGAATGCTGTGAAATGCCAATGGATATAAGACGAAAAAAACTTGGCATCAGACTTTTAGTAAGATTGTACGAGAAAAAGTCAAGTTTAATATTCAAAATACAGCAGCTGTTGATAGCAGACTTAACAGAAAAATATTGGATAAAAAAGAAAACTCTAAATATAGTAGATTTATATTCAAAAATGACAATATATGATAAACAACTATATAAATATGACATACACCCAAATTACAATATTGACTTTAATACTCTAGAACAAGTTCAGGTATACTTCTTAAGGGACTACAGCAATTTACCTTTATCTTTAAGAAAATTAATGTTTATATCTGACAGTTCACAATTGTTCAAAGATTATTATATACTATATACAGATGCATCCAAAACTATCGAAGGTGTGGGATGTGCATACTGGGATGACAATAATAAAAACAGTAAAATGTTTAAACTCAATTCCATCATGAGTATATACACAGCTGAATTAATAGTGATAGTGGAAGCACTAAAATATTTATCTAATATAGATCATTCAAAGTTTATAATTTATAGTGACAGCAAAAGTGCTGTAAGTAAAATTAGTGCTATAAATCCTAAATCAAAAGTAAATTACGTTGAATTATATATAATAAATAAAATTATAGAACTTCAGCAACAAGGCAAAACTGTTAAGTTGGCATGGATTAAAAGCCATTGTGGAATCACTGGAAATGAGATAGTAGATGAATTGGCAAAAAATGCTGTGACACAAGGAGTATTAACTGATTATCTTTGTACGTCTAGAGATATAGAATCAGACACGTTCAAAGAGCTTAAGAAGGAATGGAAAGAAAGGTATAATAATGAAAATATAAATACAGGAAAGCATTACAGAGCAATCAAAAACCATATTACGGATAAATCTTGGTTTGCTAAAATGGAGTCGACAAAGGATATGACAAGAACTATATGCAGAATGAGATTTAACCACTGTCTTAAACCATCATATATGTTTAAAATGAATCTAGCTGATAGTCCACAATGTACTTGTGGTCAGATGGGTAACCTACAACATAAAATTTTAGACTGTTCTCTTATTTCCAATAAGGTTAATAATTTTTTAAATTCGCTATATTCTTTGACCGATGTCCACCATCCCATTAATTTAAGTTATTTATTAACATTAGAAAACAATGAATTTCTATATAGATTATTGTACAAACATGTTTTAGATATTAAACTCAAATTGTAATTATAAATATAGAGTAAGTATTTATTTGTAATTTGTTAGAAAAAAAAAAGAAAAAAAAAGAAAAAAAAATTTAAAAAAATTAATAAAAAAAGAAAATAAAAAAAAAATAAAAAAAAAAAATTAAAGAAACAAATAAAAAAAAATAAAACAAAAATTAAAGAAACAAATAAAAAAAAATAAAAAAAAAATAAAAAAAAACTAAGAAACAAATAAAAAAAAATAAAAAAAATACAAATAAAAAAAAAGAAAAATTGAGGAACTTGGACAGTCCACAGTAAAGTAGCTATTGAATTAAGTAGATAGCTGCAGAAAAGTTTACTGTGGAACTCTAAGGACCTCATCACTTATTATACTTATTATACTTATATATAAATAACTAAAAAACAATTAATAGGAAAGAATAACTATATATTAGGGATCAATACTAGTAATAGTAGGATTAGTATTAGTAGGAATTTAGTATAAGATTGTATAGGAAACAATGACTAATGAAAAAATGAGTACAAATTGTAAGATTGGCGAATGGATTTAGTGTCCGCAGTCATTTAAACACAAACAAACAACAACAACAATCAATACTCTTCCAGTTTAAATCATAATGTTTTTCCATTAATTTTATAACATCAATTGATTTTTATTGTTTTACTTGTAAAGTAAATCTATGTTTTTTAAAGCATGTGGTCTAAGACAGACATTTATTTATTAAAAGAGGTTTTAACATCCTATCTCCTGATATATTGCTACAAAGTATGTAATAATGTTACCCGATCTTTGTTATTATAACTCATAAAACTGAAGATCTTTTTCCTGGATTAAATAACCACTTATAGGAATTCTTCTTTGAGGTTTTAACATCCTATCTCCTAATATATTGCTACAAAGTATGTAATAATGTTACCCGATCTTTGTTATTATAACTCATAAAACTGAAGATCTTTTTCCTGGATTAAATAACCACTTATAGGAATTCTTCTTTGAATTTGCGACCCAAATTGCGATGTCTCTTTCTGTTCTTTTTAATAATGCATCCCTTGAGTAAGATGAAACTTTCCTGCTTAATTTTGTACTAGAAACTATAAATTTTTATATAGCAACTTTATTAGCTCTTACAGTTGATTCGCCTAAATTAAAATGTTTTGCAATTACTGTAGATCCTTCTCCTTTTCCTAAGCGATCTAAAATTGCACTTTTCGTTTTCAACGAAATTGATTGTCTTTGATATGTTTTTCCATTGGGCCAAATAATATTTTAAAAAAAGAAATAAAAAATATTAGACTTACAATATTAAGATAGCAAAAAACTCGTCCAATGAAAAATAAAACTTAACGACACTCACTTGAAATCTTTCAATCCAAAAACCGTGCTGTTTATTATAATGCAACTTAAAATTGAGGAAAACGACGGGAAGGAAAAATTGATGGAAATTTAACAAAGAACTACGATGGGAGAGGAACTAGGATTATTTTTCGCACTTAGGGGTCATTCAAGGTGACTCACAGGCAGAAAATGTAGACCACGGAAAGTATAGGTAAAAAGGTAAAATATTTGGAGATTCAACAGAGGTAAAGAGCTTAACACCAACACTAAAGTTTTAAGTTACACATTTTAACAAACTTAAGATTAATATTATATAAATTGTACATATTTAGTGATATTAAATAAAGTAGATTGAAAGGGGTATAATTTTTGCAATAATAAACTATTAATAAGTTCCTCTCTTTGTATTTCAAATTTACTACAAGCATAAAAAATGTGATATAAGTCGCAAACCACATTGCAAGTTTCACAAAGTTCGGTGGTTACTTTACCGATTTTATATAAGTGTTGAGGGAAGCTTGCATGTCCGAATTTCAGCCTACAAATAGTCACAATATCATTTCTTGTAAAATCATAATCTTGGTGCCACCAACCTGTCGGAATACTTGGATGTAATAGTGTGTAGGTATCATGTGAGGATATTAGAGCAATAGTTTTTTCAATGCAGTTCCATGTTGCCTTAAAATGACTCTTAGATATCATTAAATATTCTTGAGCACCTAAATTGTTGTTGATATGCTCTATAGTTGTGTCGCTTACTTTGGCTAAGGAGTCTGCTACTTTATTGCCACGAAGTTCTATAATGAGCTTTTACCCAAGTGAATTTTAATTCGTATTATTTTTTTTTGAATTTATAAATTCTTACTTTTAATTCTCTAATAAAAGGATTTGTATTAGTAGTCATGACATTAATTCGGTTGGGTCAAAAAATGTATTTCTTTTAACTTATTTTTTTTGACATAATCATATTTTTTCTGCTTTTGCAGAAAAAATGGAAGTATTATTGTTTAGGTTATTATTGTTTATATTGTTTTAAGGAATGGTCATGAAAATATTTTTTCATAGAATTTCAAGACAAAGAAGTGTGCCTTATTTATAATGAATCAGTTGCAGTTTTTATAGATTCGAATTTGTCTCGAAACTTCTCTAAAAAATATGCAAATAAAAAATATAAGCATATGACATAGGCAGAGGGAAAGTCTTTTATTGAAAGGCAAAAAGAGAAGTTACGTGGACAGAAAAACATGTTTACGAAGCAATCTGATACTCACTGCAACACTGCTAAGGCTGCAACACTGGTAAGTTATGTTGTAGCTAACAAAATTGCTAAAAGTAACCAAACATTATCGGATGGTGAAATCATAAACGAATGCATGGTAGCTGTAAGCAACTTTATTTGTCCAGAAAACAGTAACGAGTTTTAGTATTTAGCTTTATCACGAAGGACAATAACTGATCGAATTGACGGTATCGCTGTAGAGTTATCGTGACAGGACGAAAACACAGACGTGTGCAATTCTGCTGAGTTGCTGATTTTTATTAGAAAAATTGATTAAAAGTTCAATATTACCAACGACTTAGCAAGCTTGCAATTATTGAAAGGAAATACTACAGGAAAACATATTTATAATTCTTATTTTAGGAGTATTTCAAAGTTAAATTTTTTTAAAGAAAAATTTTATAATATAACCCCGGATAGAGCAACCAATATGATGGGCAGTAATGTGAGGTATATGTACGGTGACCCATATGTACTTTTTTTAGTAGGACAGTACTTTCTTTTCAAACGCTGTCCTATTGCATTTTAAAATTTATGAATGTTTGGGAAAGTAGGCATTTTTACATTTAATATTTTTTCTGGTACGGTTCTGTAATATGATCTAACTTAGGGTTGTATTCTAAAGAACTTTTAAAATATATTATTTCCTGTTCACTCATAAATCTTAAACTGGATATCTCATTTATGATGTTGTACATACGGAAAATTTGGCTTCTCTTTTTATGGTTCAAAAACATACACACAAGTTTAAAGTGTCGTGTTACCGTCACAATTAGCTAAGATTATCGGGAAGGTCGCCATACAATGGAAAGATTTATGGGTAGACCCTTCCGGACCACACCGCTTCGAGGGTCCTTAACTCTGACCATATTAACGCATTCTCAATCTCAATTGGCACTCTTCGTCACGAGTGAACGAAAACACATTGACCGGTCTTGTGCTGTCTCGGCGACGCGACGTCCCGCGTCCCGGGCGTCGGTACCACCGGCCAACTCTACAGCTTGGTACGAATTCATCAATAGAACCAAAGGGCAAGTCTATTCTTGTATAAAACATTGATAATGAGTAAACCAGTTTATTTCTAATTTATTTCTACTTTTACAATTTATAATTGCTATTTTCACCAATTTTATGTATCAACAATATCGCATTTTTTCGTTATAATTATTTATTCGATATAATTTAAACCAGCGACTTCTCAAGTTTAATCACTAAACAATGAAGTACACCTAAATGTATTTTTTTTTTCTTAATTACACAAAATTCAGTCCTACTTTTTGTCCAAACAAAATATAATTATGATTCGAATTGATTCAAGAATCGATCTTTTGCGGAAGATTCAGAATCTCCTATCTTTAGCAGCAATCGATCGGCGCAGGAATCACTTGCGACGCTCGTCTCCGCGTCATCGTCTATCCCCTCCACTAAGTTAGTTTAGTTTAGTTTATTTAGTTTATTACCGATACGCCCATCTTCCTCCCATCATTGTCAATTTCATTTCGCAGCGAGATCTTATTATCTTATTTATTTATTAAAAATATGTATCTCGTCGTATGTTTATGTTTATTTGTTACTTGTGCACTCACTGTTGTCTATTAACCTTTTGTCTTAAATTCCGGCAGTTTTTATCGTTCTTTATATTATTTTGTGCTGTGTGAAAAAATAAACAATTTCATCATGTTACCGCCTAGAAGAAAATGTCATTTTAACGTCGAGTTGCAAGCAGAGTATCCTTTTATGAAACAAAAATCAAATGTTTCACCGCATATTGTGTTTTGTCAAGTTTGTAAAAGTGATGTTGATATTTCTAACAGTGGTCTCAGCAATATCAAACAACATTTGTCAAAGAAAAAATACATGTTGGCTGCTAATGCGAACTCGAAGAGCAGCAAATTGGAAACCTTTGTTAAAACAGAAAATTTAAGTTCTGAAAATATGTTAATTGCTGCCAAGAAAGGTACTTTTGCTTACCATACAATTAAGCATTTGCAAAGTTACAGATCTTTAGACCGCCCGTCAAAACTAATTGTAAGCATGCTTGAACCTAAATTTGCGGTAGCTCGAACCAAGACTGAGGCGATTGTAAAAAATGTTTTAGCTCAAGAGACTCAATCCCAATTAGAAATTGACCTTCGAAAAGCAAATTTCGTCAGCATCACAATCGATTAGTGAATCATAGAGAAACTAAAGTTGTGCCCTTAATGATAAGATATTTTGATGGAGACAATGGTGTCCAAGTAAAGTACTTTAGCTACGTGACTTACCTGGTGAAACATCAGAGCAGTTAAAAGATTACGTGGTCAATGTTTTGAATCACCATAATCTACTACCAAAATACATCGGAATGTGTGCTGATAATACAAATACAAATTTTGGTGGAATGAGAAGAAAAGAAGTGAACAATCTATTCAGCAAATTAAATGCTCCTCGTAGTAAACCGGTGATTGGAATTGGTTGTGTTGCACACATTTTTAATAACTGTTTACAAAATGCGACAGCCGTCTTACCTATAGACATCGAGGTTATTGCCGTCAAGATTTTTAAGTATTTCTATATTTTTACAGTCAGAGTGGAGAAACTAAAACAGTTTTGCGATTTTTTTGATATCGAGTACAAAAAAATGTTGTCTTTTTCAAAAACAAGATTTTTGAGCCTAATGCCAGCCATTGAACGAATTATACAAATGTTCGAACCCTTGAAAGAATATTTTTTATCGATTGATAATTTCACAAAGTGATTTTAAATGTAGAATGTCGCTTTCGAGTATTTCGAACTCACAAATAACTTCAAAATCGCTTAAATGAGTTATTTTTACCGCTTAAAGTAATAGAGTCACTTTCAAAACTTGAAAATATGAAAGATCTTGACCTTAGTGTGAACTCTCGGGATATCTTTATCATGCATGTCAAGCAGTTTTATTCAAATTGTGTAACATATTTGAAAAACTGGAGTGAAAATTTAAGTGAACTAAAGCTATTCGGATGGGTTAACTTGAAAAAAACAAGTTTCTTGGGCTAAAATTTTATCGTGGTGTGAGGCTTTCAAAGACTACATAGGTCCGATATTGAATCAGGACATTGTTTGATGAAGTTAGTCTAATACTAACCTACGTTACAGAAGATAAAATCGCAGACTTGAATTCAAAAAATATTTCTACCGAAGATCGATGGCTCGAAATCTTCCAAAAAGAAAATGCTTTGAAAAATATCAAAATTCTATATAAGTTTGTTTTTATGTGCCTGTGACCAGTGCGTCGATTGAGCGGTTGTTCTAAAATATCAATAACTATTGGAGTCACAACAAATCACAGTTGAAAATATCTACTCTGGAAGCCATCATGCAAGTCTACACAAACTTAAAAGTTTCGTGCAATGAAATGTTTCAGTTCTAAAGAGTAAACCACAACTTCTGAAGGAAATTCATAGTTCCAAAAAGTACGACTGGAACCAAAATGATGATTAAGATGTTCAGGAAGAAACGTCGAAAGAAAATTGACTATTAAAATTTATCATACATTTCTTATGTACTTGTTTGATGTGATCTATATGTGTCTTATGTTTGATTAAAAAAATCGTTCTTATCATTGTTTCATTAAAGATTCGTAAAATTTTGACCAGAAAAATTTCCTAGGGCACTAGCAGTGTACATATTTTCTTAAAAATTATAAATATACTTTTTTTTGTTAAAAAGTTATGGTCACCCTAGGTATATGGGACTATTTCTTAAAGAAAATCCTAATAAATGTATTATTTCTGCACTGCTCAAACACAATAAGCAGAAAACTTATAAACACAATACGTTCACGAGGTTCGAAACAAAGACAATTCCAAAAGTTTTAAAATCCACCTTAGTCTCCCACAATGTTCAGATATTTTTTGACAGTTACTTCTCGACGGTACTTTTAAGTCCGCCTTATGTTATTGGTCATAAATTTTTACAATAAGCTAAAAACGTTGTTTATTGCGGATGAATCTTTCGACTACCTACAAAACTTTTACACTGTTACTAATAAAACACTCGTAATCTAAGGTTATTCCGTATTTATACCTAGAATAGTTATTCTAAGTATAAGGTAGATATAATACTAAATAAATTTGTTACAAACAAACTCGGTATAAACTCGTTATAAGTATTCCTACTTTATTCCGAAATAATCGTTTGGCAATGTCGCAATCTTTGGCACAAATACATAGAACAACAACATATTGACTGAAATATGTCAATTTTGATTGTTCTTTGAAACCGACAACTGACACCAAATATATGTTTATTTGTTATCACTTTGTTATCTTGTTGCTTGTACGTTTAGTTTGGTTTAGTTTGAGCATTTTAAAATTGGAACAAGAGTTGTAAAATGGCATCAAATAAAAGAGAACGTTGCGTTAACTGGGAAAGTGAAGAAAAAGTAAGCAAACTGATTTATTTTACTTATAAATGTGTAAATTTAAATATGTTAATTTCAGCATCTTTTAAAGAATATTGTCCAAGATTATTTACACGTTATAGAAAATAAAAACCTTAGTACAAACACTAATAAATCAAAGTTAAATGCATGGCTGCAAATAACGGAAAGGTAAGTGTTTACTTAAAATTATATACTTCATCAAAACCTTTTTTTTTATTTCAAACCATTTATTTAACAAATTTATATGGTTGGTTAAAAAAATGTTTTTATCTATTTAAACAATTTGATACTGAATATTCAACTTATTTTAAGGTTCAATGCTGCCAATGTTAGAAAAAGGGACAAAAAACAATTGATGAACCAGTGGAAGTTGGCCAAAATAAATTGTAAGAAGCAAATGTCCCAGTTGAGAAGAGAATTAAATAAAACTGGAGGTGGTCCTAAACCACCATCTCCTTCTCCTGAGGTATTGGAGATAGCAGAAATGATTCCCCTTGAGTTAGAAGTGGATTACAATGAATTTGACAGTGATGCTGTAAAGGTACAATATTGAATCTAGTATTTTCTTATTTATTATATATATATATATATATATATATATATATATATATATATAAGAAATACTGGATATTATTGACTGTCGATATAAACAAAAGACATGTAGCATGTGTCTGTTTGAGGTAACACACTTGTAATAACTTTTCTATGGATGTTTGGTTTTTCATACTGTTCTTTTTAGATGAACTGATGATGCTTTCTGATTAGAAAGCGAATCATCTTCAATAAATAGATAAAGTAGCCACCTTCTTTGTCTTTTTTCTCCACCTTTTGACAGAAAACCCCATCACTCTTTGAGTGATCCTTATGGTATATTGGATTGACTGTCGTACTCCTTTTCTCAATATATATATATATATATATATATATATATATATATATATATATATATATATATAAACATACTTTTATCTTTTTAGGAATCTGTAGTGACCCAGAATGTTGAAGTAGAAGATTTCAATTACCCTAGTACTTCATTTGGGGTAAGATATTAAATAGAGTGTAATAAAAAATAAAAAAACATTTTTTCATTAGTATATTTTCTTTCAATCAGAATGAACATATAAATATAAGTGTACAAAAAACTAATTCTAACATTTTGTTACAGATAAAACATCATGACATTGAAGAAGCTAGAATGGCTAAATCAATACCAACACCTAAGCGAGCTACAAATAAAACATTGGTATGATTATATAAAAAGAATAATTATAATATATAACATTTTTTTTTTTAAATTCATTTCAGACATCCAATACTTTTAATTTTTCTAAGGCTTCATTTGATGATATGCACCATTTTAGGGTCCGGGAGGACAAACGCTTGATGTATGAACATGAGCTAAGAATAAAGCAGATGTCTGAGCAACATGCTCAGACTATGAAAAATTTAAAGCTTCAGGAGGATATTCTAAAAAAGAAAAAGGAAGACAATTAATAAATAAAAATGAGTGTATATAACATATAGTTTTATTTTCCTCAAAAATTTTCTTCTATAAATACAGATCTTGATGCAGCACCCCGTTGTACATTATTATGCATTACTGGTGCTATTAGTGGTTGAGGTGGATATTGCACATCACCATCATCAGGGAAAGGTTCCTCCTTTAAATAAATTGCAATATTATGTAATACTGCCAAAGCTACAATATACATTTTTGTATTATCTAAGGATGTTCGGAATCCAGTCAGTAAACACCTAAATCTGTTTTTCCAAACACCAAAACATCTTTCAACAGTATTACGTGTTCTGATATGTGCATAATTGTATCGTTCCTCCTGACGGTTGGAAGGATTTAAAACTGGTGTTAATAAATATGGGGAACAAGCATAACCCGAGTCTCTCAATAACAAACCATGAAATTATCCTCCCTCAAACCGTTGTTTTAAGGTACTTTCATTAAAAATGCGGGAGTCATGTGTACTTCCTCTCTAATGAGCAACAATATTTCTTATTTTTAAGTGATTGTCACTAACCACCTAAAACAAAACTTATTAAAACACATACCTATATTACAAAAATATGTATAACAGCTCACCTGAACATTTAAGGAACTATATCCTTTCCTATTTATATAATATTGTCCACTTGGTCCTTGTATTTTAGGTATTCTGATATGAGTACAGTCTATAGTACCAATTACTTTTTTAAAACCAGCTATCTGTTCAAACTGCCGCATTAAAATTAATTCTTCATGTAGAGAAGGCATTTTGATATAATCAAATCTTTTCTCCAATATCGCTCTTGCAACACGACGACATACATTAGTGATAGACTGCTGGGTTAAGCCATGAATATCTGCTGCATCATCTTGAATCTACAAACAAAAAATCAAGAAAAACTTTTGTAGTATAGCAGTTGTATATACATAATCTAGATAAAACAATTCATATAAATATACTCACTTCATTGCGACCCCAATATCGTAAAGCGGTGAGTAGCTGTAGAGTAGAGGATAAACCGCCTCCTCGCGTGTCCACAATAAGTGAATCACCAATTAAGTTTTCTAAAAACCTTACACCATCTTTAGAAAACCGATATTTTATTCTAAATTCTCTATCGGTGTATTTTGAAAAGGGATTTATTCTTTCTTTAAAAGTTTTTCTTTTTCGTGTATTTTCCATCATGTTAATTAAATTATCAACTTCCTCGACAGCCGCAACACCTCTTAAACACATTTTTTTTATTATATATAAATTGTAGCTAGTCACAAAACAATACAAAAAATAAAATATATTCTTGTCACTTATGACTTTGACATCCATAAAATAGGTTATACCAGACTTAAACAAGGGCGCGGGTCGGTATAATCCTGGAATAAATTATTATACCAAGTATAACTTATATCTAAGTTATTCCATGTTTATTGGTAGTGATTTTGCCTATACCTGATTTATTCTGAGTATAAGTTTTATACTTGGTTTATTAGTTATGCTGTTAGTGTATTTAAAATGAAATCGTGGGAATATCATTTGAGGTTTTAAACATCAGTTGATAACTACGGTTGTGAGTGAAATTTTATGTGGTAAGTATTATTAAATGTATTTAAACAGATCGTGAAATTAGAATCTGACTATTATTCACAATCAATGTTTGTAGTTTTTAGAACAAATAAACACTAAAAATTTTACAGAAATCGGATTGTTCTTATTTATATAACTGTATTTTGGACCGATTCTTAGAAGTACCGTCGGGAAAACTAACAACGATCGTATTTTATTTACAGTTGTCGCAGTCATGGCAAAGAATAAATGGACTTCAAAAAATAAATTTACCAATAACGAACTACTAGAGATTTTGGAAGACGGTGGGTTTGATGCTTTTGATTTAATTCCATCAGATAATGATCAAAACACTGACATTGAGGATTTTGAAGAAGACGAAGAAGGTATAATAGTTATTTTTTTTATGAAAATATTTTTTTACTTACCGACTTTATTTGTAGGTTCTTAAGCAGAAATAATAGAAACGAATCGTATAGTATGAGATATACTTCAGACTGAGGAAAACATACAAGGTGAAGAGGAAACAGATGAAGAACAAATAATAGAAACTGAATTAGAAGTGACAAAAAATGAAAGCGAAAGAAAGTGGGAACGAAAAGTAAAAGAAGATTCAGATCTTAGCGAATATAATCAACCTGAAGGAATTAATGAAAACGAATTTATAGAATACTACACTGCCCTTAGTGTTTATTTGAAAATATTAGGTCCTGCTGTAGAACATATTGTTTTCCAGTCCAACTTATACGCTACTCAACGCAATAAGACATTAAATCTAACGGCTGACGAATTTCTGTGTTTTGTTGGAATAAATTTTTTGATGGGGTATCATCAGCTGCCCAGTCTTCAATCTTATCGGAGCACCAGTAAAGATCTCAGTGTTCCTCTAGTTAGTGAGTCTATGTCCAGAAACAGATTTCAGGAGATTATATCAAACTTGCATTTGAATGATAACAGGTTACTATCCAAGGAAAACAAGGATAAACTTTATAAAGTACGGCCTTTGATGGAAATTTTAAACAGTCAGTTTGGATTATTGTACTATGGAAGTCGGGAACTATCTGTTGATGAGTCTATTGTTAAATTCAAAGGCAGAAGCAGCCTCAAACAATATAACCCAAGGAAGCCAGTAAAAGGGGGATATAAACTATGGTGCCTCTCTGATCAGTACGGATTTATAAAAAAGTTAGACATTTATCAGGGGAAAAATGAAGTCGTTGCAGCAAAATACAATAAGTGCACTTTAGGCGAAAGAGTTGTATTGTCTTTCAGACAGAAGAGGAACGCCACAAGAAAAAAATTGTTTATTTTGATAATTATTACACTACACTAAACTTACTGGAAGTTTTGCAAGGTCAGGAAATTTTTGCTTGTGGTACAATAAGAAACACAAGGAGAGGTTTACCAAAAACAATGAAGGTAGACAAAAAGTTAAAACGAGGAGATGCTGATAGTATGGTCTCTAACACTGATATTACATTCTATAAATGGAAAGATAATCGTGTAGTATGCCTTGCCTCAAACTTCCACGGTACCAATGGAGTTACGATTCAAAGAAAGGACAAAACTGGTAAAAACTGTAATATAACAGCCCCATCTGCAATAGAAGATTATAATAAGTATATGGGCGGGGTTGATCATGCAAATCGGCTCAGATTCTGCTACACTATAGATAGACGCTCAAATAAATGGTGGCATCGTTTATTTTGGGGCCTGCTTGAAATTGCATTTTTCAATAGCTATGTAGTATCAAAACACTTTTTAGACATGGAAGAGTCTACCAATGATTTAATAACATTTCCACGAGATGTGGCCATGGGACTTATCATCAGATCTTCTCCATTACGTAAAATGCAAAAGAGAATGTCTGATTCCCAGATTGCAATGAAAAGAAGAAGATACGGATACAGTGTACCAGATAGTATAAGGCTTGAAAATCTTGGTCGTCACTGGGTGCAATATGGTGACCGTCGTGCAAGGTGTAAACTATGCAGTTCTAAAGGAATACAATCAAAAGCATATTCATTTTGTTCTGCATGCAAAGTTTATTTATGTAGTAATGAGAAAAAGAATTGTTTTGTGGAATACCATAACGTTAGTTTGTAATTTAATTTAGTTTGTAATTTGTAATTTAGTCGTTGAATAAACCGACGGTACTTATAAGTACCAGTTAAAAATAAAGTATTTGTGTTATTTATTTTGCAATAATTATTTTTTTATAGAGTATATATACGTGTATTAAAACATATATTTAACAGAAAATTCTAAAATTCGATCTCTTTCAATGCTTGGGATTTTAGGGTACCAGAATTTGGTGGTAGTTAAAAGTACTGTGGGGAGCCTAAGGGAGAGATTATTAAGCTGCGGTAACGTATTTAAAGGAGTATAGAATGTAAGAAAGGAATTTTTGACGGGGCAATGCACAGGGCTTTTCGACGACTGATATCTGACGAAAATTGGCTTCCTAAATCCTCATTTTTTATAGATTTGCTGTCACACTTATATATAACTGGATGAGAAATTTGAGAAACAATTCTAGTAAAATTTTAATTTAGTTACCTAGGATTGCTACTGTATTTCAATCGTTTATTTATAATATTGCACAATAAAAGTGTTTCCAAAAGAAACAATATTTTTATTTTGGTAAACAACATAACCAAAAATTTATTATTTTTGCCCGGCATATTATTTCTTTAGTAAATATTCACACGCGAAAGAAAGAAATTCCCAATCCCTGGTGTAGAATAATATCTCAGTAACACTGGTATATTGCTTTTATTTTGGTTGGATCAAAAACTCGGTTTCTGTTCGTTGCAATTTCAATCAAATTTAATCTTTTTTCTTTTACCAAATTTTTAATCGCAAAATGAAAGTATGCATAGTGTTCAAACATATAGTCCACCATAACATCGTAGTCTTGGTTTTTTATAGACCCAAACAGACCGGTACCGGAGATTTGCCGGACTGTTTTGAACAGTGTTCTTAAATACTTCCTGAACTCAATGTCGCTGACTTCGAAGTATACTTTTTCGATCCCTAATGCGGTTTTTAAGGAAAGTCCAACTTTTATTTCATCAGGATGAAATTCAATGTGATTAACGCCGAAAAAATCCTCGCTTTGTGTTATAACGTGATGAAAGTTCAAACCTGGGGGACAAATACCGTTGGATTTACTATGATTAAGATGTGC